ACATATGTATATTATTCTTATTTATATTTGTTTTCTTTTTTTTTTTGTATCCATTTCATACACATTCATATATTATTATACTTAAATAGAATCTAAATTTAACGTAGTATAATATATAAATAAGAAAAAGTTTGAATACAATATGAGTTTGAAAATGTAAATTAGTTCATTGTGTGTGGTGTAGTAAACGTTTGTGCCATTTTATTTAGTAATGTTGAATTTTTATCGGTCAACGATGGTCGACTATGAGTTCACTTGCATTCATGAAGAGTTAGGTTATCTCGTCAGTGAGTCAAACGACTGAAAGGAATAGTTTACTTGCTAGCTAGCTTGCTTGCCTGCTTGCTAGATTCGAGGTCGAGGTAGGTAATTTTAACAACATTAGTAAGTAGTGTCTCAGTTTAGTCACAGTCGTGACGCGACTCTTGGGCCGAACAGAACTGTCGATAGCGGTTAACTTTTTTCCTTTGCTTTACGATTTTATAAACATTCGAGTAAAACAAAGAAAGAAAAAAAAAAAGAAAGAGAAACGGGTTGCTCAGTGAAATTAATTAATGTACATTTTCTTTTTTTAATTTTCAAATTAATTCATGTTTATTTTAAAGACATTTATCTCTCATTAATATTACTAACAATAAAATATAATTACAGTTTATAATTAGTTCAGCGAGTTAACAACTACAATCAATAGTGCCTCCTCTGTATTATATATGTATCGTCGAAATGATTCATTCCCGAATAATATATAACTATAATATCGATAATACAAAGTGTACGTTAACGTTTTCCATTAATAAAATAAATTAGAAATCGACTGATGTTTCCGTCAAAGTATTACTTGGAATTAGTGAAAGGATAATAGAATAACATTTAGAAAATGTGTTTGAATTCTTCACGGAGGAAAAGTTTTATCGAGAAAATCGTATGTGGAAACAAATAAAATATGATTGCAATCGATTGATTGAATGGTAAAAACGACTATAGAAATATATTACTTGAAAATGGATATATTGAGTAGAGGATTTATCATTGTGTCATCATTGTGTCATCATTGTTTTTCTTTTCTTTCTCTTGCGTCATGTTATTAAGTATTGTGTACAAGTTATTATTATACAGGGTGGCGCAAACATTAGTTTAACGATTAAGAAATTCTTTCATTCTTTTATTTATTTCTTTTTTTTCTGTTCTTTTATCGTTGATACTAGAAATTTATTTTATATTAAAAAAATATTGTGGATTGTTCGGAAAGTAATTTCGTTTTATTTTTATGAAAATGAAGACAATTTTTGTTTCGAGGTTAAACTTAGGATTTTCGAGTGGATTTAAATAGTTTAATTTGATAAGTTAAACTCTCAACGATTTCACGTGTTGTTATTTGCCAATTCGCATTAACTAATTTCAAAATTGTGTCAAGAAAACACGTAATTACTTTCCGCACAACCTAATAATTGAAATAAGTACATATATTATAGAGATTTCATCTTTGATAAAATTATTTTTTTTTTTTTTTTGCATTCATTACCTCAAACGAGTCACCCTGTATATTATTATCGCTTTGTTTTATTAATATTGTTGTTTCCTTTGTAATTTTTTTAATCAATTGGCCTTGAAGATTTCTTTTAAAAAGCGTATACCTAAATTATGTTGTCGAAATGAAACGATGACGAATATACTCGTTAAAAAATAGAGTATATATAGTTGTTACAAAATTTAATTAAACTGTTATCAAAAATGGCTGTCGTATTTTTTTTTCCAAAATGAAAATTTATGTATTTACTTATTTTAAAACGTATAGTTTAAATACGAATATATTGTTGCATGATATTGAATAAAGCAAAATACAACAGATAAAAAACCACTTCACAAGTTTAACACAAATATCTTCATTCTTTCGCGGAAATAATATTTTTTAATAAATATGATAAAACATATTTGTGAAGTGTGATGTTAGTTTTATATTTCTATCGATGAAATTTGAAAGAGGCTTCTACTCATAGTTTCGTCGTAGGTTGCAAAATTTTTTTGGATTACTATTTGTTTTAATTATCTAACGAAAGGCTTAATTAATTAACGTAATCACTCTCTTCTCGTTTTCTCTTTCTCTTTCTCTCTCACTCTTCCTCTGTCTCCCTCACTTTTATCCGATTACGATATAAATCCCTTTCGACGAAAATTCTCTCATCGAATTTGTTCGATATTAAACGATCAAGCTTTCAAATGGTAATTTCTAATCAGCTACATCGTATTACATACATTTTATCATAATATTTTATTATTATTATTATGATGATGATTATTATTATTATTATTATTATTATTATTATTATTATTATTATGATTATTATTATTACGTGTATTTTAAAATAACTTTCTTTTTATATAATAGCTGATTTTGTATATATTTATATATACATGTAAAATTAGCTATTATATAAAAAGCAAATTATTTTAAAACTTTTATATATATATACTTTTATATATATTTTATATAAATATATATATATGTACTCTCACATGTCGCTTCATTTCTTTTCTACATTTTTTATATTTTTGTTTCCTCTCTGTGTGCTTTATCATCGTGAGGTTATTTTCACACATAACATATGTAACTACAACACCAGATATCAACCGAGCTTACTTTTTATTATTCATCTCCGACAAATTACTTTACTTTCCTGTTCTAACTTTGGGTAGTATCAAAGTTTTACCTTTTCCGCTAGTAAATTTTCTGGCTTGATAAAAAGAAAAAGGATTTTTTTATAAATATATATCCTTTTTGTAAGATTAAGATAATTGTTTAAATCTACGTTAAATTTATAGACAAATTTCTTTTTTTATTACGATTAAAAATAAATTTAATTTTTACAGTCATAAAATAAATTTGGTAATTGTTTTTAACAATTTCAAATAATTCATTTCACAGATTAATTTTTGGTACGGTTTATTTTTAAACATTATACAACCTACGAATAAACGATTTAATCAGTTAAGTGTGGCGATCTTGGGGACTTTATAGGAGGGACGCGCCATGTACATTGCTAGGCTGAAAATGTGGGGGGACAGCTTCCGTTGCATCGCGCAGCCATGTTTATCTTTAGTATGTATTAACGGTTGTGGTTAGTTGAATCATTCGCGCGCAATCACGTGACTACACGAGTTCCTGTCTCCCAGCAATGTACATGGCGCGTCCCTCCTATAGGGTCCCTAGTGATCTGTGCGCAGAGTGCGCTCTGGTGTGTGTCGCGAATTCAAGCGATGACGGATATAGTCGTCAAACACAGAGTAAGTGGCGTTGTTAAAATATTGGATAGTCAAAAAGACAACTTTATTTTAGAAAATGAACAATTTTGTTAGTAATGTACACACAGTTTCTTAATATTAACATATATTTATACATAATAAACGGAAAAATTAGAGAAAAAATCGAATATTTATAGAAGTTAAAAATTTATTCTTGACTTTTTTTTTGTTTTTGACCTGTAAACATTTTAAACATACTAATAAAATTAACGAATATAATTTTTTTTTCGCTATCAAACTTACATTTTAAACATCAAATTGTAACAAACTTTTACGCATGACGGATATAGACGTCATAACACAAAATTTTGCCACATATCCATGACGGATATAGTCGTCAAACACGCTTAACTGGTTAAAAGATTTTTATTTGAAATTATATATTTATACGCACAGTTATCTATATTATATTTAATCTAATCTAATATATCTAATCTAATATCTTGATTGTGTATCTAATCTGACCATTTCTAAATTCAAGATTGAATTTCAAGATTGCGTTTCTAATTAGTGTTTAATAAAACAGGAATCAAAGTTGGACGAACTACTATATCGAAGGTGACATCATTTTAAGAAGAATAATGTGAAAGTTTTCGTTCAATTATTTAATCAACATTGCAGTTAAGTAATGTTTCTACTTTGGATTTGTACTGATAACACTGATAACGTTGACCTCATTGTTACAAGAAAAAAATATTGAAAAATGAGTATAACTATTTCCACACTATAGTGAACGTATTAGTTGTTCTTTATGGATTGTAAACGAAAGTAACTAATATTATTCCTCGATAAATTATTATTTGGAATACTACTGGAATATATAAATATACATATATATGCTACAAGGAAATAATCATAAAAGAAGGAAAAAAAAAACCAAAAAAATTTAGTTACGTGAAAAGAAGAAAATTCGAAAAAAAAATTCAATCGCAATGTCATGGCGTTGTGGGAAAATTAGCCTAATCATACTTATCATTTCGATCAGTTGTCTCTACCTTCTTGCATTTTACTTCGACTTGAGTATAAAAAATGTTCTTAACTTCAAGGTCAATCATAGATCTTTTCCACACCGATTTAACAGTAACAGGAAGTTTAAAAAGATCCTATTTTGGAATGGAATGTTTAATCATAAAGATTTTTATTTCGGCGATGGTGATATTTTCAAATCTTGTCAAGTGAATGATTGTTACGCAACTTATGACAGATCTTATTTTGATGACGATACATATGATGCTATACTTTTCCATGGTATCGAATTAGATAGGCAAGATTTGCCTAATAAAAGAGATTATAAGCAACATTATATTTTTGTTAATTTGGAAAGTCCAGAAAATAGACCAATCAAAGATAAATATTTTGATACATATTTTAATAATACGATGACTTATCGATTGGATAGTGATATTCTATGGCCTTATGGGATTGTTAGCGACAGGAAAACTAATAAGATTGTTGCACCTTCTAATCATGTCTTCTGGGATATTCCTGATAATGATGTTAACAGGGATGCATTATCTACCACGACACAGTTAAAAGGTTTTTTCCATTTTTAATATATATATATATTCAAGTTGTATATTTATTTATCTATTTTTTTTTTTTTTTACTTAGAATCACTTTATTTTTAAATGCACAAATATTACATTTCGAGTCTGCAATCATAAATATTCATATCTCATACAATAATATAATATCTCAACTGTTTCAACATTTTTTACTGATAATAATTTTTGATTACGTCACATTTATATTATCTTCCACTTGTTATAAACGCGTTCCCTTCAAAGTAATATAAAATATGAAATATCGATTCGATGTGACTTCATTTCATTAAAAAAAAGATCAATATAAAATTATCATACAATTAAAATTGAAAATAATTAACGCGTAATGTTGTAAATGTTCTATTAGAATTCATATGAAAGTATAATAAAATAATATATCGATTTGATATAACTTTATGACAGAAAAATAAATGAATAAATAAAAAAGAAAATTATTACATGAGTAAAATTATAATCCAATTAAAATGAATTCGTCATATAATTGTTTCTATTAACACGTTAATTAATTCAATAAATAATAAATCATCGTGGATATTTTCTAATCCTTTGAATTGGAAATCGTAGATGTTACAACAATTGCAAATAAAAATAAAGAAATAGCTTGGTTGGTGAGCAATTGTAAAGCTAAAAGTGGGCGTTTGGAATACGTTGAAGAATTATCAAAGTATATAAACGTCGATATTTATGGATATTGTGGTGATGATAAAACATGTCCATTATCTCGTGATTGTTTCCACGACATATTCGAACCGCAATATTTCTTTTATCTCTCCTTCGAAAATTCATTGTGTCAGGATTACGTCACGGAGAAGCTTTATAAAGCATTGAGGTAATGCAGACGAATTATTGAAATTTTAGTCTTTCTTATATCTAAAGATAATATTTTTAAAATAAGCCATGACACATAGATTATAGTTTAATTGCTAGTATACTATAAATTATTATTTTTTTTTTAAACATTTATCTGCATTATATATTTATCACTTATCATTGTAACATAGTATGTTATAATTGTAATACATACTATACATACTATATATATATATAATAATATAATAATAAATAAATAAAATATAAATAAAATAAATAATATAATAATAAAAAATATAATAATATAATATTATAGTATTATATATACATATATATTATTATATTAGTAATATATATATATTAATATATTAGTATTATATTTTAGTATCAATATAATATATATAAAATACTATTAGTATATAAATAATAATATTAAATTATATTAGATTTTTTTTTGTTACAAATTTGATTAATGTTTCATGGCTTTAAATTTATTTATTAATTAATAATGTATCATCATTATTTCTTCGACTTTTTCTCTCTTCTTTCTTTCTTTCACAGATACAATATAGTGCCTATCGTTTACGGAGGAGCAAATTACACTAGATTCGCTCCACCAAATTCATACATTAATGCATTAGATTACGATAGTCCAGAAAAATTAGCCAAATATTTAAAAAGACTTATAAATAATCCAAACGAATATCAACAATATTTCCGATGGAAGATACGTTATCGTATAGAAGATGCAACTCCCAAAACTGCTTGCAATCTTTGCAAATTTCTTCATACCAAAAACAAAACTAATACGTACGTACAATTATCAAATTGGTATAGTTTTAACAAATGTCCATTACAAAGATTATTAAATAACAAAAACTACGTCACAAAAGTGCTCTATAAAAGAAAGAAAAAATCTTTATATAAAACGTGATCTCCCTCATTATCATGACAGAAATAAGTCTAAATTCTAAGACAAATTAATGAATAATTATTATAAATATTATTATTGTTATAATAAATTCTTATAATTTCTTTACTATATTAATTCATATAAGATGATTATGAAATGTGCAGTATTTTTTGATCTCATCGTTTCTATTGTTCTATAAAATAATATCTAGCCCTTTACAAATTTTGTCTTAATTATTTCTTCTTTTTTCTTTCCCCCCTCTCCTCTTTCTATATTTTTAACGATCGACAAAGATACATTTATTCGTGTAAACAGTGATGGATAAACGGTTTGATGGAAGGTTTGCAGGACAGAATGTGTACACCCATAGGTACCCTAGTACATACACTCGTTTTATCAAGCTACTAAATCCTACTATAGTCATCCTGTTTGCACGAATTAAACCGTTATCGAATCTGCAGGGACAGAAAGAGAGATAGAAAGAGAGGAACGGAGAGTGTGAGAGAGAGAGAGTGAGAGAGAGAGAGAGAGAGTGAGAGAGAGAGAATTCGGAATGCAAATGCAGATGAGGACAAACATTACGATCGAACACGTATTAATCCCTATGCGTTTTCTCGTTGAATGTTACACGGAGACTTCGGCACCTTGCTCAATGAGAGTGAGAGAGAGAAAGAGAGAGAGAGAGAATTCGTTCCAATAAGATAAGCGATCGAGTTACGACGAAGAAGCGTTTAAAACGTTTTAACGTGACGCGTTATCTTGCCGAATATGCCTCCCATTTCTGTTCGATGTTGCTCCTAATCATAAATTTAACTTAATTGTTTAAGTTACTTAACTTAATTGAACTTATTATGATATTCACCTCCTCTCCCCCTTATGTTAAATTTCTTTTAAGATACGATTTTTATAGTTTTATTTTTAAATGAATAAATTTCTGTATATTAGATAGGTAAATTTTGTTCTAAAATAAATTCACTTTGAAAATGAGTTTACGTAAAGAATTAGCATCCGATTGTTGGAAAACTTGATGGATTTGAATAAAAAAAAATTGTTTTAATTTTTTAAGTTACTTAATTAGATTAAACTTTTAATGATACCCCACCCCACTCCACTCCCCCTTATAATAATGTTTTAAATAAATGTTATAAAATAAATTGTTACTTTGAAAAATAAATTCACTTTGAAAATTAGTTTACGTAAAGAATTAGCATCCGATTGTTGGAAAAACCTGATGGATTTGAATAAACAAAAAAAAAAAAAAAAGAAAAAAAAAGTAAAAAAAAACGTGGTAGAAAGGATTACACGTGACGGGATAGCGTTTTTCTTTCTTACAGTACTAAAACGTAAACACGATAAGGTTTTGTACCGACGTCTCGTTTAGTCTCGTGTACTAGAACAAAAAGCGATTATACTTTGTCACAGCTGCGTAACCACAGTTTCGGATCTGTCCAATCCTGTTTCTGTTTCGCGGTACCAACGGCTTCGTTCTCCCACAAATTCTCTTGCCATTTGACAAACCAGAAACGTGGACTATAGGACGTGGATGCGATGCCCAGGTGTCACGTCTGTATCACGTATTACAAATTTACCGGTAATTATCACGAAATATATACCACGTACGCGTGTATAGTATGTCAGTGTACTACTACTGCGTATGTTTACTACTTGTGAAAGAGAGAGAAAGATATATATATATAGACAATGGTGGTGTTTGTTAAATGAAACAATCGACATTCGAGAGATATTAGATTACTTGAATTTGTCGATTTTAAACATTAGAGATAAACATTTGCTGCTGCAATGACAAATCATTGCATTATAACATTTGACTTTTTTATTTTAATATGTATATATAAATGTGCAATTGGTAAATATTATTATTCGTTATTTGAATAATACCACATGATCATAATCAACGTGAATGTTATCAGAGCTTTGGAAAAGAAAAAACAGGAAAAAATAAATGAAATGAGTTCTATATCATCCTTAATATATATAAATTATGTGTCACGTTGTTTGTCCGCAATGGACTCCTAAAATACTAAACCGATTTTAATAAAATTTTATACACTGTATGCAGTTTCATCCAACTTGAAAGATAGGATAGTTTATATCTCAATTTATAATCGCAATATTATTTTATTGCGAATTATTTGTTTATTAACAAAGAGTCATGATTATCTCTGTTAGTTCGATAAGATGGCGGTATAAGGTAATTCGTTGAATTAAAGACGTGTGTATCGGACTGATTGTGAGCCACAGCAACGCGTGGCGGGGCACCCCTAGTATATTTATATTATTCAATACTTCCTTTTGTTGGTAAGTAGCTTATTGAATTTTTTCTTTACAGTTTTGTAAATTGATCGATAGAATAATTCCATATTACCTAGCGTATTCTTGGTATGATTTTGCTCAAAGAATGCGAACAGATTATTATTTTCTATTCTTCTGGAAGACATTCTTTCTTCCAACGGTGCAAATCTTTATATAGTCGTTTTAATTTTTTTTTCTGTCTCCTTTCGCCTTTCCCCCGCCTCCCTCAACCTGCTACTATTTCTCTTTCTCAGTTTCTCCGTATTACTTTATTTTTCATAAGCTTTTGCTGTGTTGCACCGGTTTCTTCTGTATTTTTTTTTTTTTTTTGCTAATTTAACTCACTCTTTCTTTCTCTCTTTTATTTGCTTTTTTTTTCTTATGACAAGCTTGTAACAACAGTTTTTCCTTGTTTTTCTTCTGTTTATTAAAAACGACTGAATTATTTTGAATTTTTCTTCGATTTTCTCACCACTACTAGAAAAAAAAAACCAAACTTGTCCTTTTACAATTTGGTTTTTATTAATTCTTTGCACTCGAGGGCTTCACTATGGGGACAATAAAAAAAAGAAATAAAAATTGAAACAAATTCAATTCAGTCTACAAGATATTAACTATGATTTTTCTTTTAAGGGGTGTAACACCACTACAGAGCCTGAAAAAAGCCTTTTTTTGGCCAAGTTCAATTTTGGCCAATTTCAGGACCAAGTGCATAATGTTTTTAGATGTCTAAAGTACACTTTAAGCTAAACAAAAAAAGCGATTTTTTGAAAATTCTATAGTGGTGTTATCCCTTAACTTCGCATATGTCATTTATTTATAATATGTGAATATGATTTTTTTTTATTGTAACTGCTTTGTAAGTTTGTCGTTGGTAATATGTGAAATGAAAAATATAACTTTGAGTGCAAAGGTTTAAGCGATAAATTATACCATTCTAAAATTGTATATACATATACGTATGTAAATATATATTTACAAATGAATTTATTCAAGTATAGTATTGTAGTATTATATACTGAAAATATAATTGACTTATAATTAACGCGTAGTATTTTACGTCCCTGATCTCTTTCCGAGTATCCTGTAAAAAAGATAAAAAAGAAATACAAAATTGCATGGACCTTTTTCTCTCTTTTTCTCTTTCTCTTTTGGTTCTCTGATAGACTAGGCAGACAGAAGTTTCCGCTTTTGTAGCGTTATCTTTGCACACCAGAAATACGCGTATTGAATTTGTAGATTATTTGCATACCGCACTTGGCACACAGCTCGATCGATTCGATACTCGGCCCCATTGGGTCCCACGTGCTACATCGTCGATTACACTAATTCCTATGCGAATAAACGAGAAATGATTTTCTATTTGACTCGAAATTAACGATAAATGTATGATTATTTACGAAACGTTACGTATATCTGTATATATACATGTAAATTTGTTTTCAATCATTTAATAATGTTTAAGAAAATGTAATAGAATTTTTTGGTTTAAATTAATACTTTAACAATTTTCTTATCTTTTTATTTATAATATTCGTAGTTAAATTGTTCGATCAATTTCTTATTATTTACATATATGTATTTTGAATATTGAATAATGTTAAACAAATATACTTTGATTGTTCCATTCTCTAATCTTCGCTTAAAACTTATTAACTTGGAGAAACTGAACACACTATTCGAAAAGTTCAGCATTTGAATTGTAGTGGAATCGTGACACCAAGTTCAGCATGCAAAAGCTTATGGTTGCAAGTGGTAGGAAGATAGGAAGCTAACTGTAAAGCGTTCTCTCCCACCAGTTAACCATACTTCGTAGTACGTCTAACAACATTCGTACTTGTGAAAATTGGCAATGCTCGAAGCTACCTAGAAGATGCAACGTGTCTGCATTCCTACGAAATCGCACGCATTGCAGCTACAGTATATACGAGTTGAATTTGCAACAGATAGGAGAGACGCTTTAATGACTTATGTTAGACGTTTTCTACTCCAATTCGTTGACGTTTCCTCAATCGATTCGACACATGTCACGATTTCAAGAAATACAGGATTTTTTCGTGGTTTTTTTTTTATTATTAAAGTGTCATGTGCCATTTTGGTAGACATGATTTTTTATTTCTTTTTTTTTCCAGATACGAGATTACTATAATTTTGAAAGTAACGTTTACGATTACATTAATTAAAGATTTGTCTGTTTTTGTATGGATATATTATTAAAAAAAAATAATAATAAAAATCTTTGGCATATTTTTCATAGGATAAATAAAACTGTTCGTTGGGTTCTCGTTGGATAGAAACGTAAATGTGGAACGTTCGTAATAAATAAAATCTAATCGGGCTGGCGTGTTCAAACTCTTATGCAAAGCGATAAGAACAAATCAACAAATATTAATGCACGAGTATTTGATAGTACAGCCAACTTAGAAAACAAATGCTATTGCACAATGCAATGGTAACCCAAGTTTTTTCTATTTTAGTGCGCCCTCGTTGAATTTAGGTTTTGTCAAGGTGCCCTCTGTTATAATCTAACAAATTCACTTTGCAAAACGGTTAAAAGTATTTGTTCTAATTAAAGAATCGAATAACTATGTAAATATAAAGTTCCGTTTAATTTCGCATTTTATTTCATCGAATTGAAAATACAAAAATTTGATAACATTTCGGTGGTTATTCATAGCGAATTAAATTTTATAATACGATTATAATATATAATATTATATTTCAATACGATAAATAAATTCGATTTATTTAATCATTAAATTTGAAATCTTATAAAACTTCATTTATTCCTTTTTAATATTATCTAAAATATTAATACGTTTTTTAAATCATTTCTCTTACTCTTTAATATTCTTGTATTTATTTTCTTAGTTAAAAATTAGTTTGTAATTTAATATTAATTTTGTGCTAAATTTCAAATACTTATAGTCATTTTCTAATAGAAAAAAAGGTTGTATTACATATATGATAGGATAAGATTGGTAAAGAAGAGTAGAGAGCATTTTCTACAGACGTGAAATCGATTGACATGTCATTCATTCTATACCAAGGGAAATCTTCTAGAGTATCGAAAAAGATAGTGCCCGTACAATTTTTTCTCTCGTCTTATGTTTTCTTGTCGTTTAAAAGAAAAGAAAAGAAAAGAAAAGAAAAGAAAAGAAAAGATGAGTAGGTGAGGGGGGGGGGGAAGAAAAAAAACATTAACGCACTTGGACATGAGCTTACGGGAATATGAAAATCAATGTTAGACCGGTTCTCGACGCGTTCCAATTTCACGGGGAACACTTTTATGGGTGCACACTTTGACGTTGGTGGTTTATTAATACAGACGTATGGCTTGCTACGATTTTCAAAAACTTTCCAATAATTTTATTCTAAATTATGTAGGTATATACATACATTAATTGCACACAATATGTATATATGCTTAGGGTGAGTCACAAACAATTATTATCTACAGTAACTGGAAAGGATTATTGATCGTATGAGGAGGGGGAAAAAAAGATTGTAATAAATTATTTGATTTTTTAAGAAAATATTTAGATGATAAATGTATTTTCTTTTTATTACCATATTTTTGC